TGTACTTTGTCGTAGCTAATATAATTATTCTGATGGTTGTGCCTTTTCAAATGATGGCAAGTCTTCAAGGAGCTGAAGAGATGTACTTTCAAAGCACCATGCCCGCTCAGCTGGCTGCCACCACTGATTCCACGGGTGTTTATTCCCACATCCTAAATACTGGTACTGACGAATACTACCAGGAGACGCTTAAACTTTTAGCCTGTCTGTTATACTCCACCAACTTCCGCAGTACATGAAGAGCCCTTCTCTAGAGGGCACATAAGCCTTGGTCCTGCCCATAAAAATCTGTTACGTCATCATCAGGTACGTCTGTGAACACGCTGTGTTATTTTTTATAGGTCAGCATGAGAAGTAAGCATTACAGAAGTGATTATCTACAGACAGAAAACAATTTATATTTCTCAACCACTACATTCTCCGCGCTTAGGCTGCATCTGATGATGCATTCTATAATAATTGTGAACGTGGAAGAGACAACACGCACAAAGACGTTATCAGAAAGGCACTAACTGTTTACCCTTAATCTCGAAAAACCTTCGCAGACAAGAATTTGGAGGCCCAAGTAACTGAGCATCCACTTTATATTCACTTAGCACTCCACAGTTTCGACCAGAGCATTCTTTCATTAGGTTTTCCCACGTTGTAAACTTCTTTTGTATATTTATCGTGGTTTTCGCAGATCTGTTAGAGATTAAAGATCTTATCCATTGTGCTAAGGCCCTCGCTTTACGTCGTGTCGTTTGGTTTACTGGTAGAACAGAACATTTACTGTTAAACCTGCTAGTTCATACATACTCGTGACTTATGGCCATGCGCGATCTCATCTGGCCACCGACTCGTACAGGTCTAACCGATCGATCACAGTGGCAACAGACGCGCCTCTCCAGAGACTGCGTGTGAAACTTTTAATTTTAATAGAACAACCGCAGTACAACTGGGAGAATACAAAGCAATAAACTTCAATAGATTATAACGCCACTGTTAAATAAGTAACGCATATCATGAAATTATTTGAACTGAAGAGGGCATACTTTCAAGCCGGTACAGTCCTTGCCGATTTCGCTCACCTCGCAGACGTTGCAAAGCTTGCCTTGCATTTGTGGAATGTATGACGCCTTGCAGAACGGGCAAACGGTGCACGCCTTTCCTCGGTAAATCGGTTTATAGGTTTCAGCACATATTGAGAACGGGTTGTGTTCATCGTAGTTCAGAGGCTGCTCGTCCCTCGGGTCCTTTTCGCAAGCGACCAATAATTTCCGAACGTGGTGCGCGATTTCCGGTTTTGGACCTAACTCTAGCACTCGGTAACACATCGATGCACATGTCTTATAGTTCTTCATTTTGAACAGCAGGTTGATCGCCGTGCGAAGCGTCAAAATTTTGTGAACCGGCTGTAGGTCGCAGTGAGTAAAGTACGCAGCCATCTCCGCTGACCGAACCAAGTCGTCCTTTGTCTCCTTCGGCATTTCTTTGCGTTTCATCTCCATTTTAATGCCAACTAAGTACTCGCGACAGATTCGGATCAACTCCTGAGCCTCAGCTATCTCCTGCTTGGTATCGACCAGCAACATCGGCACTGACAACAACAAACGGTGAAACTTCGTCAACGATTCCATGAATTTGCCGCTCGTCGTCAACTGGTAGCATAGCTAAAATTTAAAAGTATGTCGTGTGCCTTAGACACATCAATCACAGTAGTGAATCAGATCGTTTAAAAACTAGACAAAGGCTGAAGCGTCATCAGCGGCATAACATCATCCCAAGTGCGCAATAACACAAGTGATGTTGGTTTTCAGCCATTGTACTGCGCTACTTTGACACGCTATGCCAATTTGTACAGGTGTAAGAAAATCGCAGCCACTATATAAATTTGGGTGAGACAGAGCAAATGATTAGTTTCTAAGTTTTATACCGGTCGTGGGAGTAACAAACGTGTCGAAATAAAAGTCGTACTGTAGTTAAGAAGAGGAGAATAATTTTCCAAAACAACCAACTGTCACTGATTACTGCAGTCAGGTTTAACAAAAAACGCTGACACTTCGAATGTCAGGATACAGTGCAATCGAAACCCAGATCCTGTGCGCCGCAAGAGTTCGGAGTACTTTCCCCTAAGTTGAGGGCACTTTCCTCTCTGTAAGGCAGAGAGTTTCACATTCATAGTTGCAGATATTGAATGCAGCTAAAGCACATCTGTGGGCCAACCAGTATGGCACCTAAACACTGGTTTGGTTGCGTTCTAAAAAAGGGCTGCGTCAGAGTGAGAGTTTCTACCGATATGACTATTTTTGTCCACGGTGTATGCTTCCATTATTTCTGTATGACCTGGTTATCTGAAAGGAATCGCAGCCTGCAGCACACCACTATGTCGACAAGATATACGACTGTACGCAATGGCACAAAAGAAAACTTCCGTCATCCGTCAGGGGAAGATATGTCACATGTAACTTGCCAAGCTCGCATTTCTATGGAAACGCCTTGAGGAAGAGAAAAGACCCATTGCTTAGGAGGCCAGTTGAGAACGACTGCAACGGTGTTACTACCCCCGCCTCAAGTCTGGTTCAATTGACTGCAGAATAAATGACCGCTGAATGATTTGGACATGAAAAACAAACGCCGTGTTTTCCACATACAACAGATAGTAACTGATTCTAGCCATCCATTACAAAATGCAATCAATAAACGGTGTCTACTTTTGGCAACGTGCGTGCATACATTACTGCTAGTACCTTCAGTAATTCGACCGCCATTTCTATGACTCAGTGCATAATCTATCACTAAGGAAAAAAATTTTATAGTTTAGAAATTATCTGATGCAGTGACAGTGGAAAAATATGAAGTTTAACTATCCCACGCTCGCTTTCAACTCGTAACACTCATCATGCTATTTTATGTTCGTTTTCTGTTGTCTGCGTTCGGATACTATCTAACATGCTTTGCTGCTGATTTCTGAACGTAATGAAATAAAATTAAAGCACCAAAAAACCAGACTTGCCTGCAGATGACTAGCGAGGTCATTTAATTTGAAACCGACGACAGGAAAAACCTTCGACGACGCGTCCTTTGACGTTCGAAGCGGATAGCAGAACAACGTGTTGGTGCAAGAAAAGCTAGAAAACGCAGCACGACTGCGAGCCAGCGTTAACATGAAGAGCGGCTTGAAAGGTTCGAAATTGACAACAGCGATCTGTTGATTCAGCAGTCTGAAAATCAAAACAAATATTTTGCTAAACAGCAATTCTAACACTATACCGAAAAGCAGAATCGAATGAAGCAGCTAAAACGAATTCAACAGGAAGCCGCGACTGGTTCGTCCAGCGATATGTAGGAGGCTGACCCATCGAAGGAGGCACGTACAAAGCGCCTCCGCCGCCTCCTTTTAATGTTCCACTGCCGGCAGATTCAAGAAGGTCTGGAGGCAATTCAATATCGCCCTCAACTTCCCAACCTGCCTCCTCGCCGACCTCCATTTCTGCTTTACCATTCACTGTCAGTTCCTCGGCCGCTTCTTTGAACTCATCGTCCACTGCAAACTCAGTATCTTCGCCCCAGCCTTCTTCAACCTCACCTTCAGCTGCAACGGGCAACGCACTAACTGCACCGGTTCCTACTTTCGGAAATTGGCCTCAAAACAACTATAGTTTGAATATAAAACAAGACAGCATTTAGTTTCATACATTCAAACAGACTCTTGGATGTTACCAGCCGTGGCCAGTTTTCTGTTAACTGGCGTATAGATGGACGTGGCATCAACAAAATGGTATTCGGGTCTATCGCAGGTAACTGCCCGCCACTACTTTCTATATTAGTTGCCAACGCGACTGCTTCTTCTTGTAAGCCGTATGTTACGGCTGTCACGTAGGCCAGTGCAAACTGACCGCACCCAACCAAGATCTTCAACCGTTCAGACACTTCTCCCAGGTACAGCGCAACTTCAAACCAGCCACAGTAGTCTTTTCGCAGTTCTGCTATTTTCAACATTTTCGTCAGCTTCTCTGAGTTGCCAGTAAGAAAATACAGAAACAGCAACTTGTCGAACCTCTTCGTTCGCTGGTACGCAATTTCAACTATTTGGTGATTCCCCTGAAACGAATTGTTCAAAACTTATTACAAAAATTCATTTATAAAACTAGAAATGACCAGTGGCGTTTCAGTAGAATCAAGGTAAATGCCGGTAGTGCCACTAAGAAAAATGCTCATTTTGAACAACGCCAATCTCGACATAAACGTCGCTCAGGACGGGCAGCGAGCAAAGAACTACATGACAATGGGACGAAGGGTTGTATCGCCCTTAGTTTTAAACGTTTGCCATCAATCGAGAAACAGTTCCATATGAGGAAATGATAACCAAGGAATAACAAGTCATACTGTAAAGAGGATAAAACAATCCCTCTAAGGGAATACCGATGACGAACTGCGATGAAAGTATAACAGTCCATCAAAAAACCACGATGAAATCTTTCATTATTTCATAAACGCTTTGTGCGAAGAATCATTAGCCGTTGGCAGTGAAAAGTGTCTTTTCTAGAAGCAATTTTATGGGAACAGGTACTGGATTAAAATTACCGTTTTTCAGTAGTCTACTGCAACTGCATAGCGAATTTTTGTATTTATTACTTAAATAATTTATCCAGGATATGCGAGTGCGCGGCTACTAATCAATTCTAACCAAGGCCTACAACTATCTTGTATTTTTTGATCGTCAATACCCATAACGGACAGATTACTCTTTGTGCGGCTGTCCATTCCACATTTAGGATGACGATCTTCCCCTGGTATGGAAGCATGTTATCGTTTGATTAGAAAATAGAGGTTTATAAGCTGTGGCGCAGAAACAACAACACAAATAAAGTACAAAAACAGTTTAAGCAGAGCAGTGCAAGAAACTAGTAACTGTAAGCACGGACGCAACTACCCGAACGGGATCAAGAAGTATCTGAATGGCATCCATATATCCAGTTCCT